AAATATTTATACTGGAAAAGAAAATCGTGAGAGAATCGTGATTCTCATTTTATGCAAAATCGTGCAGCCCTATGGGAGGGGTTGTTGATTTATGGTTTTTGCTGGTTTTGGTTCTGCAGTGTAATGATACACTCAAAGGAAAGTACGACACTGAATGGCCCGCACAGTTTATTAGTTCCATTCCTGAAGCAACGCCCCAGCTCCATCTACATGCGTCTCCAACCTTGTGAATGCTTTCATTTATTTTTTCTGGGGTTTTTGGCAGCATGTTCATATTTCTAACTTGCATAATTTTGACAGGATATATTTTTATGAAGAGCAAAATATTTAAAGTTAAAGTTTTTAAGTTTATTTAATAATAATTAATAATTCTGTTTTTCCTCCTTCCTCCATGTCAAGCATGTGCATGCTACAAAAATCTGGCAACTTTAAATAATTAAGCATTAACTGCAGAAATGAGCAGATGTTTTGGGACATTCACCTAGCTCATATTTGGATTTAATTTTAGCAACCATTCAGTGGCATGACTTCCTCTTTTCTCCAGCTTTGCACTTAGGTAATGCTAATGCCAATATATAATATAATATACAGCATAACTGTATTGGCTTTACATAAAATATTCAAAAGACTAATGTAGTTATTTTTCATAAGATTGTTTCATTATGTATGATGATCATTTTTACGCAGGAATTTGTCATAACTTTGAATAAACCCTAACTCATTCGCTGCACACTTAAATGGCACTTAAATACAATCAAAGGGTTTAGTTTTTTGGACAGATGTTGTATGCAGTTTATTTTGAAAAAGAACCGTGTTTTTTGTCTTTTGAATATTTATAATTTCCCATGAATAAAAAAAGTATTTCTTATTCAACTACTCAATTAATCAAAGGAATAATCGATACTCTATTATTAAAACAATCATCCCTAGTTACAAGTATTTAGGTCAAGTTTGTTTATATAGCAGATTTCCAAACAGTGCTTAACACTGTAAAATGCCACTAAAATAAATAAAATGCACAACAATGATGCAGTAAAATATAGAAAAACAAATAAATAAAATAAGTCAATAAAAACAACTAAAACAACAACAACAACTAAGGCTATTAAAGTCAACGTGTGTTAAAATCCAGACCATAAAAATGTCTCTTTATTAACGATTTGAAATGTTTGAGCGTTTGTGCAGATCTAATATCAGGAGGAAGACTATTCCAGGCTCTGTCACCACGAGTTTAGACTGTGGAGCAGTTAAAGGTTGGTTAAAACATATTCTTGGACTGCTGTAGAAAGTGCTTGAAAGGTCCGGGTCAAAACTAAGCCTAAAAATAGTTGTGTGGCTCTGGGGAGAGCGGCCAAAGTGCACAGCTGGGAACCTGACAAAGAGTGAGTGTGTGGGGTCAAGGGGTTAATCTGGCTCTCGTTTAATTCTTATCTTTTAAATTCACTGATGGATAAAAAAATCCCCTCAAACTGCCTGCTGGATCTTTTAATCTGGTAGATTTAATCTCGTGTACCTTGGTCAGCACTAGCACAGAGAAAGGATGAGCAAGAGCATAATACAGTAGAACATAATGTACGTATAGAGGAGTCACCAGTTACACCAACACAAAACATACTCTGATATATTTGTGTTTAATTCATTTATATTGTGATAATTATTGCCAGCTTTTTTTAATCAGTCAGCCCCTAACACTTCTAGAGTACGCTTGTTCACTTCCTGTTTAATAACATCAGGTGTACACCTCTAATAAAACATCTGAAGATCCAGCGGCATCACGCTCTGTTACAGGCACAGATTAGACTGCTCGTATGTTTACACTGTTTAAAAAAGCTCTTTCTCTCTGAAGGTCTGACACTTTTTATTAGTTTCTTTTAATTTTATAAGTCCAAAGCAAGTCTTTCAGAAATATAGAATGAAATGTGAAGACGGATAAAACACAGATCATAAAAAAACGTACAGATTGGGTGTAAAGATGTCTCAATCAAACCTTGACCTTTACACAAGACTTACACTAGATCTCTTTATGAAAGCTGTCATTATTGTTTCAATATAAAAGTGTTTTTACTTGGAGAAAGTAAAACCCAACAGAAGCTTTTCAGTGATCTATTCTTTATGCGCACGGTGCCTGAAAAAGCTCATTTTGTCTGCTAACAAACAAATTCTTTATGGTTGTAGTGGTAGCTCACAGGTTGCTGAAGAACGATGCCCACGTTCAGCAACATGTTGGCCAGATAAAAGAAGATATAAACAGGAAGAAAGGAAGAGCCTGTGTCCTTACTACATGAGAGGCTTGCGGCAAAGCACCAGGGCGTCGTAGAGCAAGCACACTCCAAACACGGTGATGCCTGTCTCTTTCACCAGCATGGCGCAGGTGCCCAGCAGCAAACTGAGGAACAGCGAAGATGACGACACCGTGAAGGCCAGCGAGTCCTCAGAGACACGCCCACTCACACTCCTGAGAGAGGAGACAAAAGTATGAGAGAACAAAACAGCTCGGCTTTTGTAAGGTCACTAGCTGCAGGACAGCTTGTGTTAGATGTGACGTGGCAGTCATGTTGCAGCACGTCTAACGCAACGACAGAATCACTTGTTACAGTAGCTAAATTTAGATGTTTTTTTATGGCTGTAATTAGGAACTGACCTGCGTGTTCATAAGCTTTTATATGTTCAGCTGATATACTGAACATATAAATGATACACTAATAGGCTGTAACACTTCCTGTATGTAAATGAGACTAAACGTGTTTTTATGAACAACTTTCCATCCATCCCGTAACTATGGTAACAGTAAAAGTACTCTTCATTAGTCGACACCACTGTAAAATCTTATGTGCTTTGAGATTCTGCTCACTTTTTAAACACCAAGCTGTGATCATAAACCTCACAAAGTCATATGCATTACACGACTGAAGGACTAAACTTGAGTAACAAAACTGTTTAACATTTTCACTCACTTGTTAAAAATAATTCAGTATTACAACCACCCGTTTGTGGAGCTTTCAAAGTGTATTCTATTCACTCGATCTGCATCAGTCTCTCAGGCAGGCCGATCTGATTTACAGTTGCAAATGTGCAGAGAGGTTGAGGATGGTGTTGTCTTAAAATAATCTCATATCTTACCTAATATAGGAGAGGAATGTCAGCAAAAACAGCAGACAGGCCAACACATCAGCTCTACCCACGATACCAGACACCTGCGAAACAGACACAGATTTGAGAGATTACGCATGTGCACACTGCTGGGTGTCTATGTGCAGCCCATTACTGTTGCTATGCTACAGTGAGCTGCACATCACTGTCTCAGAAGCAGCCTCTGTGCTTTCCTTTCAAACCTTGAGAGCGATACGCAGTGTGACCATGGCTCATGGTTACTGGTGCCAAGAAGAAGTATTAAGGCTTTTCTATAATGTCTGATCACACACGTGTGTCCGTTGGGCAAGCATGACTTGTTCATAAACAATTCTCTCCAGAACTTTAGACTAACAGGTCTGCTACTGACACCATTAAAACCAACATTCTTATTCCTTCCGATTCTTTCCACTGCGATGGAAATAAGCTGCATGCCAAACATCTGTGTGATGTATAGGAAGGGACACAAACTTGGCTGCAGCTTTGGGCAGTTTACTGTCTATGTTATCAGAACCCGAAGATGTATCATCAGGTAGTGATATTAATAAACGCTCCACCGTCTCAACATTCACTGCCTCAAACTTAAATTGCCATTGCTTATTATCCATGATAGCATGATAGAGTGGGATCTCCTCTGCTCATTTTAAATTTATTTTATTGCTGTAGTAAATGTTGAAATATATCCTCAGCTTTACTTATAAACATCTGTGTTGATGTGTGGCACCACCAGAGCATCACTCTGCCCATTATATTGGTTAAAACTGTCCACATCTTCTTGCTGTCCTTATTGGCCTCCTTGAGCTCATGCTGATAATATAAATTCTTCTTATATCATTAAAATATTTGTCTGTGTTAAAGTTTATCTATGAAAAACAATCACTCGTGCAGTTTTCAGTGGTTTCATTGGTCAAGCCTACAAGATTATGGTCACTATAACTAACTGGAACAGAGACAATGTTTAAGCATTGTTCAGGAACATTTGTATATATATGATCAATACAAGATGATGACCTATGACCTGCCTCTGTTGACCGTCATCCGCGTGGGAATGATTACCATCTGAGACAGACGGCAGTAGATGCTAATGAACTCTTCTTTTTCCTTAAAGGACAAGAAGTAGATGACCAATTAATATTAAAATCTCCAAATAAAAATATGTCCTTGTCTTCCATCTTTCCAACATTTCACAGATTCGTTCTACATACAACGTATTGCTACTTGAGAGTCTGTAGCAGCAACCCACCAATAACAGCGTGCCATAGAGCGGGTGTGACTGAAGCCACACGATTTCCAGATCGTCAAACATTAAGTTCATATGTAGCTTGCTTGCCACATTGTCATTAATATATAAGGCAACACCCCCTCAGAATCTGTTTAAGTCTTTCCTGTACAACTTATAACCATTCATTTCAAATTCATTATTCTCAAAGGCACATTTAAAGAGTTTGTTGACAGCAATGACTGAATTTCCTGAAACTTATATTTAAGGCTACAAATACTACCATGAGCTACTGAAAAATATTTTACGGAGAATCCGGGAATAAACTGATCCACCATAACGGCTTGAAATCAGAATCAGCATTCTGATTCTGATTTCAAGCCGTTAAATGTCAATATTACTGAAAGTGTTTAATCCAGCATTCAGGGACCTCGGTTTAACAATAAATTTATCATATTTCAGGACGGCAATATCACCTCTGTCTCTGGCCACGCTCAGCTGTAGTAATGGTTCTTTCCTCTTCTTCCTGATCTTTGTAACCTGACCACAATCTGCCTGGCTCATCCATTCTTGACTCTGTGACCTCGTTCGATTTGAACGTGTTGCTGTCCAGGCCCTGCTGGTTCTTCAGCAAGTGTTGGACTTTATCCTCTGCTTCCCAAGTTTCTGCATGTTCGTCTATTAATCCATCCACCACGATGTTATTCCTCCTCTATTCATTTTCTAAATTATCCATCTTGGTTGTTAACTCTTTGGTTTCCCTGCATATGCTGCTGACCACTGATTCAAACAATTTCTTTCAATTTGCTTTTAATACTCTTCTCTTTGGTTTGCAGCTGACCGACAACACCAACCGTGAATGGTGGACTTAACATCCTGCACATCCTTCAGAAGGCTGTCTAACCTTTTGTTAGTTCTGCCTACAATTAATTGAACAAATGACTTGAAGTCATCTTGCTGATTTTGTTCCCGGTGAACATGACTTGTGCCAAACACTGGATGATGATCTTCAGCTTTCCAAGGGCTATTTAGATTTTTGTCAATGAACCTGTTACTTGTCCAGACTGCTTGCATTTTAAGTGGAGGGGCACACACTTTGAGCATTACGTCATCATGTTCACATGGTTGTGGGAAGCCAAAATCATGATTATGATTAAAATATGTATGTGTGCAGCCCTAGCACTAACGGATCGCCATGCTCATGGAAACATGAGCATAAAATGTCATGATCATTAACGTCAGCCCCTCAGGCCATCCTCACGAAGTCTGTTTGACAACACTCACACCAGTGGGTAGAGGTCAGTTTTTAGGCTTCTGTTAGTGCTCGTCCTGTTTCTATTTGCAGAGAGGAGCAGATACCGGTCGTGATGATGGGTTAAGGACCGTCTATGGCTCTGTCCTGCTCTCCTAGTATAACTGCCTGTTTATACAAAGCCAGTCATCTGGGAATGGCACGCATATTTGTGCAAACCTTTGTAAGGTCTACAGAGAAAAAAACAAGTGAAAAACTGAGAAAATGAGGAGGGAAAGCTGCCTCCACCCGTACAACCATTCCAATTTTGGGGACTGCCTCACTGTTGCCCCTGTAGTGTACCTCTTGTTATTTCATTAACAACCCCCTTGGTACTTAACTGATCAGACGGATGGTCTAGAAGTTTAAAGCTGGGCATACACTGCGAACTTTTCAGTCGTGTTATTCAGCTCCTGCTCAAACTGTATGGTTGAGTCTTAGGGGTTGGAAGTTCGTAGGTCGGGATGCAGAGTCTCTCACCAAACGGCCCGATGCTCTGATGCGACCCGAGTGCTCACACTGTACGTACATAACATGAAGCTTATAACACAAAATCTGTGTCTCGCTCTCCCTCTCCGTCTTTCACTCACACAGACACACACAGACACACACACACAGACACACACACACACACACACCACCACCATCAACTTTGCTAAATTGCTAATGAAAAATATTGAACAGGCAGCTACAATCACGACGGCCGACAGGTTTGATTTTCTTGC